CAGACCAAGGATTCAAAGTGGGGTGCACACCATTTGATTTGCCTGCAGTCTGAAGACACAAATCGTGTAAGTACTTTTGACTTTATTTTAAGAATGGAAATTGTAGCAGAGTATGCAGCATCTAGCAGTTTTGATCCACTAATGTTTGAAAATGAAAATGAATTTAAGAAAATGCATAGTATGTGGTTACAATGCGAAAAAGAGAACGTGAGAGTAGATAATAAAAAATGGTGTTTGAATAAGGATAAACAGAAAATCCAAAATTGCATGAAATTGTTGCTGTTATTAAGAAATCAATTAAATCGGATACTTCTGGGGCACACTACTGTGGCTTGTATACAAAGTAGTACTCAGAAATATAGTGATTGTCCAACTTGTGGCTTAAATGCAGAATATGTAAATACATTAGAGGATAATTATGAAGCGAGAGGAGAGCTAATTTCATCGCTTAGAACAGGTTTAGCTGCACAAACCCCAGTTGCTGTATGTGGCCATGGGGATATGTGTGCAGAGGAAGAAGAGGCATCTGGTATTGCAGAAAATGAGGACCAAGGGGTAAACAGGGGAAACCTTGTACTGGATGGGTTTGATATTAGTGGTATTCCGGTATTAACCCCCCATATAACTAAACCAACAGCATCACCTTTTAGGGACCCTTTGTCCATTACACCGACTGTTAAAAGCAGGGCATCTGCCACCCTGCAGACTGCTAAAATTCTGCAGCAGCAAGATAGGGATAAAGTAATGAAACAGCTTGTTAAGTTAAGATCCCTTTTCCCCCCATATGACTGCAAAATAGATGTAATTTCAAACATGTCCAACTTTGAATCTGCAGTCAAACAATATATGCTCTCTCCTAAAGAGGCCTGTATTATGCTTAAAATGTGGGCACCAAGCAGCATTGCATGCAGATTAAATTCACCCATAAATGGGCCCATTAATCGGGATCAAGACTGGTTCAAAGAAGACAAATGGGGGACAGAAGGAGACAGGCTTAGAGCAATCTCCAAATTGATTACCGGAGAAAGAGATTTAGACAGTCATTCACTCGCTGAAATGAAGGTACACTTACAGGATGATCCTTGGGTTTTTGCATCTAAATTTGAACAAGTGTACAGATTAACCCACCGTATACCACAAGACCAAACCCCTCCTGATTTACTGCAATACCTGATAAAAAAATTCACTTATTTAGATCCCGGAGTGCAAATGATAGCAGAGGAAAAAGACACTCTGGAAGGAGTTCTAACTATTATAGGAAAAGCTAGACAAAATTTAATTAGGAAAGGTGTTACATTACACCACAAGGTGGCAATTATGGCTACTAATGAAGGGAGGCAAGCTCTCCCAGAGATTCCATTCAGAGGTACTTGTTATTATTGCAACAAAAGTGGTCATAGACAAAAAGATTGTAGAAAGGCAAAGATAGATCAAAGGATGACTGAGGGACGGCATGCTTATCCCTTTGGGCCTTTCAAAGAAAGAATAGATCAAAATATATATGAAAAGATTGACCGAAATAAACACCCGGATAAAACAGGTCAGGGACGCCATTCTCACCCCCTGCCTAAAACCAATCTATACGGTCCTGCGCGGGAGGCTCTGAGAGTGATGACTGTACAGGGAACAGTGACTAGCAATTCTAAAATGAATGAAGAGGGTGAAGTTCCTCTGATTTCATTTTTGGAATAACTATAACTGGATGGCATGGTTCCTATTTGTAACACATTTATGGACCATGCAGGACGCCCTTACGTGAATGAAATCATGGCAAAGCAACAGACTAAGAATTGGACTAACACAGGAGCTTCAGTGAGACTTACTGACCTATCACTAAGTCTCCCTTCTGGGGCAAAACAATAACATATGAATTTATTAATGGAATTTTTTTTTTTACTTAATTGCATAATCCTGGAGGCAAGCTAAACACTTCAAAGGTTGCTCACACAAAAGGTAAAATTTTTGGGAGTAGCTATCACAGCTGCCCAATTAAAGAGTGATAGCAATCTTACAAGTCCCCAGACCTTTTAACAAGCAATCCTTGAAGAAGTTTTTTTTTGGGGGGACTTGTAATTTTTTCAAAGGAATTTGGCACACGCCCTATTTGTATCCATAGTGACATTGCTTATGCCACCAGATCAAACTCTCTGTCCCTATGGAATCTTGGGAAACTGGTTGAATGGGGACTAAAGCACCCCTCCAGTCAGCAGTAAACACTCATTCAAATGTACAATTGAATTTGTTAGCAAAGGAGGCTGTCTTAGATGGAGATCAATGGCATTTACATGTAAAAGACCCTGAGGTACAGCATGGGAGGAGCACTTCACATGCAAAGAACTAATTACGGATAGCCACGATTGTTGATCAAGGTTCAGAAGTGCCAGATTTAAAAGCAGAACTGAATAGGAATTCTAATCTTTCTCTTTTATTACAGAACCATCAAAAACTTCAAAGTGGTCATTCTATAAAAGAAGGGTTGTTATGTTAAAGTATATCCATGCCCTAAGCAACAAAGGCCTATGCATCAGAGAGTGCCAGTTGCAGACAGCCCCTGGAAGTCAATACAGAATGATTTCATAGGTGCACTTACACTGTCCAAGGGGGGTCTCATATATGGCCCCAACAAATTGTAAAATTGTATCTACTCCTCAAACTCTGTTTGAGAAAGGGGGGATAGGCGTAATAAAGATTAAACATTTTATCAAAATTATCCCTGGAATGCAAATTGGGAAGAGCCCTATGTAATCCTATAAGTCAGTCCATGTAGACCAACGTAAATTATATAAAGGGGCTTGTTCCCCAGGTACAGAGTTATCTGCTAAGAACTGATACGCCTTCTTGATCTCTTACAGATTTTTCCAAAAGTACCGAGACATGGATGTTACTCAACATGCTAAAACTCACCTTGAAATTGATGGAACAGCTTATCACAGGCCAAAGCAACAACAGCTGTATCTATGCAAAGGCAGCTCGATCTACCAAAGACTTAACAGAGGACAGCAGTGACAATCTACAAGTTCCATATGTAGATGTGACATTTAATTTTGGGTGGGCGGTCAAGATTGTTTGGCTAAAGAAACATGATTCTTTCAAGGGATTTTGGAAAAGACAATAAGGGAAATTAAGAACATTGGGAATGTATATGGACTGGTTGAGGAAAATGGGAATGTATATGGACTGGTTGAGGAAAATGGGAATGAATATGGAGGGAGGAAATATTAATATGAAATGAAATGTTATGAAATGTTACTAACCCTAGTTATAATGTTAACAGCAATCTTAGAGAGTATCATATAACACAAATTATAGTGGATACATTAATCATAAAGGGGATAAATTGGGGAACAGTAGGACACAATAAGGGTGGGGAAGTGAAGGTCTTGTTGAATGTAGAGGAAGAGATAAAGCCTATAATCCTGACTCCTCCTTTCACCTATATTCACACAACTCCTTCACTAATGGATAATGGTAGCAGACCTGAGTGTCAGAGGATTAGAGTGGTCTCTAGTGGTAATTTCCAAATATGTTCACTGAGACCTACCCCTATAGTTAGGAATGTTACTTTCCAATTGATTCGACTAACAGATTGGCTAGTTTCATCACACTTTCAGAACTGTTCTAGGGTCACATCCACTATTAATAAGGTTTTAGTTAGATGGGTGACAAGAAGTAGAACTAGGAATAGGAGGGTTGTCTTGGGTACGGTTCTGGGAGGTGTGGGTACTGGGTTGGGTTTTGTAAATATAATTGATATATAGTATGACTGCAACACTCCAGTCTGAGGGTGTTAAATTCAGAGAACTATCAATACTTTAATGGAGGATTGGACACAGAAGGATCAACAAACCTGTGCTGAGTTCTTTCATCAACAACAAGAACTTTAACTAACTGAACATTTATTTACTGACATGGCTAGTACTACCTGGTGGAAGAAATAAAAAAAAACAACAACTCACTTCCGAAACCAATCATCATGGGGTACTGCCATGGAAAATGTATTAATTCACCCATTTATTATTGTATTGTGTGTTTTCTATAGTATGCATTGTTAATCAGGTTGGTATGTGTTGTTACTTGAAGTCATTGATTGTTAGAGTATATCATCTCCAATATGATATGTAAATGGAAAGAGCTCTATTGTGACAATGGGTTGTGCATTCACATAAGTAGATACACTGCAGGATGCATTATCTCTCTCTCTTATCTCTGGTGGGTTTTATAGAGTCTAAGTGTCTCATCCACGTCATTGCCAATAGGAGGGATGTAATAAGTGGGGGGATGTGATTAACAGCCAAACTGTATGCCAATGAAGTGTTATTGTGTTCTAATACAGGGATTCAAGCCCCCATTCTACCCTTAGGCAATAATGGAGTCCTCTGTGAAGCACATGGCCTTTCACAAGGCAAAATCAGTTGGGTTGTTGATAAACTCCTCCTCCATTCCCTTCCAATGCAATCCCCCTTCCCCCAGGAGGCACTCTGGCTCTGTTACATCCTAAGGGATTGACTAAGGGAGGTGTGTCCAGCAGAAGGAGGGGCTAACCTGTTTAAAGCCCTGTGAATAGCACATTCTCTCTCTCTTTGAATTACCTCTCTTCACCTTCTCTCTCCTCTCTCCCCTCTCCCAACTATACACACCCTCTCTCTCTTACTCTCAGCTGCTGATCAATGGAGTGGTAACTGTATCACGTGTCTATGCCTGTTTTATTATGTTAATTTAGCCTACTTTCCATTCAGTCAATGTTAGTTTTAGTAGCAACATATACTAGCCTATTTCAAATGTATATGTATTGTTTATTTGTTTGATTAAGCCTTTATTAATAAATATTATTGAATTGCCGAAAGCAAGGAGTGTGGACTCTGACTTTACACTCGGTTTTTAAGTTATTATTTTAAGTTATTATTTTTAGTTATTAATGTTATTATTAATTCCAAGTTTATTCCAACTTGCGAGTTAAACGTTTATTACAGCCACCATAAAGTGCACTCAACCTACCTCACCGGCACCCTGGAAGGCAATATGGACAAGCGCACCCCGAGAAAGGCATCAAAGAAGCCCGCGGAAGCAGGAGGCTCGGTGTCAGAGTTCTTTACGGTCTCACGCGCTGTTCAGCGCGACCACCAAGATGGCGGCCGCATCAGCACACGAGAGATACTACAATGCCCTCGCAGCCTCAATCACCCACACAACTGGACCCCCCAGGAGGTGACACTACTCAGATTCTTGCCAAACTGGGGGAAGTCAAAGCTTTTTTAGCTGGGAAAATTGCCAAGGCTACCAATGAAGTGAAGGCTGAAATAGTGGCACTAGGATATCGCACAGCTACAATAGAACAGAGGCTGGAGTCTACCACCAAAGCCCATAATGCAGTCACCACACAGGTGAATTATCTATCAACACGCCTCACCATGGCAGAGGCTGCACTGGAGGATTTGGGCAACCGCTCCCGCCGCAACAACATCAGGCTGAGGGGCCTGTCGGAGCGGGAAGGCGAAGGCAACCTGAAGGAAATTATACTGGCTATCCTGCAGCCGCTCGCGCCGGAAATCCCGGCCCAACAATGGCAGTTAGAACGGGTATGTGGCAAACCTAGCAACTTGGACTGTATCAAGAGACTATACCTTTAAGGGTTACATAGTTACATAGTTACATAGCTGAAAAGAGACTTGCGTCCATCAAGTTCAGCCTTCCTCACATTTGTTTTTTGCTGTTGATCCAAATCAACAGCAAAATGTCGGTGGGGATATGGGTCATCTATGTATAATGTATGAGGGCTGTAATGTCACATATTCATCCGCTTATAGAAATGTGGTTAATGACATTTACTGTCCACACAGGAAAAGTTGTGCCGAGCAGCAACCTAATCCACAGAAGGGTTAATGCTGAGCAGCAATTATACAAATGAAACCTGGTAACTGACTTTGGGGTCAAAGGCCGGTTACAGCCTATCAGAACTAAAGGAGGGGTATTTAGGCCCAGTTCTCAGCCTGCTCAGTGCCCTGTCGTGGTTTCCCTTGTGGTTGTCTGAGAGCGCGTTCCTGTTTATAGTTTTCTACCTGGTTTTTGACTTTGGCTTTGTTTATGGACTTCTCTATATTCTGGTATCCTGACTCCTGGCTTTCCTCATCGCTGTGTCCCTTTCTGTGTTCCCTGACCTCGGCTAGTATTTTTGACTATTCTTTGTACGTTAAATCCGGCCATTCTAAGGACCGGTAATACGTTACTTATTTGTCATCCATGCTGTACAGTTCTACGTGCTGGATCAAACAGTAATCCTGACATGTAATAACTGTGTATTCCCTGTGTGTGCGCGCGCTATCCGCCGAATGCAGATGGCTACCTGTATGAGGATTTCCTTTCGTTTCACGAAAGGCACTTTGGCAGGCCGTTCGTGAACCGAAAACACTACCCTTAATAGCCCACACACTTAGAGACGTGTGGCGCTTATTAACCGATTGCAACAATGTTGCAATCGGTAATTAGAGGCTCTCCTGGGTGGCCGCCGTTCGACTACCGACCATGCGGCGGTCGGCCATCTTGGATCCTTTGTTCCCTCAGCGGTGTTAGGTCGTCGAGCGCATGGTACTAAAAATGGCTACTCGACGGCACGAACACCGCTGAGCCTCCAGGACGTTCGGGAGTTCCGGGCCGTTCGGTATTTCATTCCCTGGAAGGCAATCGGTCTTTTTAATATGTTTCTCAATAAATGTGTTTTTCGTGCGGCGTTCGGTTATTTTAGCTGGGATCTGAGCGGTAATCACACGAATGATGCGCTCAGACCCCAGCTATCTACCGAACGTCCATTCGTGCAAATAAACTGCATATTCGAAAAGTTACAGATTTTTATATAAATTGTCGGCTCTGCTGCACGGAGGGATAATCCACTTAACAGTATATTCCAGTGGGAGGATCCCTCTCGTGCAGCAGTGCCTGATGGGAGAAATGTTTTGTACTGTAAGTTCCCCATGTAGTCCCCTCTGGGAATGCCCCTGGGAAGGGACTCAGGAAACCCCTTGCATGGGGACTTGTATAAATTGTGAAGCAGAATTAAAGGACTTCAGTTGACTCTCAGAACTGTGTTTTGTCCGGTTACTGGGAGGTTGGGGATATTGCCTTGTTGTTTCAGCGCTTGACTGTGGATTACTTCCTGAACCAGCGGAATTCGTGGATTTAATATTGGCGTTCCGGTACAATTGGTGGCAAGCGACGGGATCCAACTCTACAGCCGAATACAGCGCATTCGAATGAAAGGAACAACCGAACGGAAAAAGGGAAAGGCAATTCGTATGCAACAAACAGACGAAAGCGATCAGTGAATGGGGACGGATTACACGGCGTTAAAGAGGCAGATGCTAAAGGAACTGCTGGAGGCTAGAGGGAAAAGTGCTAGCAACAAATCCAAAGCAGTACTTATTGCAGAGCTGATGGAAGGTGACCAAGCACACAGCAGCCCACCCCCTCCAGCCAGGGAGGAAACACCGTACCAGAGGGAACTGAGAACCCGGCTGGAATTTGTACCTCAGCCAGTAACCCTGGACATCTTGACCGTGCTGATGGCAGACATACAGGATTACATTATGGCACAGCAGCCCCAGGGGGCGCCATCCAGGGCAGAATCCATCGCCAACTCATTCTGCGCTCCAGTGAAGCAGAAAGTACCCTACCAGGCATTTAAAGCGTTCTGCGAGGAGAAGGATGAGATTGACGGATACCTGCAGGATTTTGAGAGGTTATGCAACCTACACGATCTGGAGCAAGCAATGTGGGTACCCTTACTAGCAGGCAAGCTGGCAGGACGAGCAGCAGAGGCGTATCGCGCTGTGCCCAGAGAGGACAGCAAGGACTATTTTAAAGCCAAAAGGGCAATTCTAGAGAGGTATGCCACAACACCGGAGGCATATTGGCGTAAATTTCGGGGATTGCAGAAGCCAGAAAAAGATTCCCACGCTGAGCTGGCACATAAGCTGGACCAAGCTTCACAGCCAAGCCACCACCATGGAGGAACTGCGCCAACTAATCCTGCTGGAGCAGTTCTTTAACAGACTGTCACCAGAGGCACAATAATGGGGAAGAGACAGAAAACCCCTCACCCTAACGGAAGCAGCCCGGCTGGCGGATCAACAACACTTTGATGCTAGGAGGCATCATGGGCTCACCAACAGGGGTCCCCTGAGACCACCCGTACAGCACCACCCGACCATCCCCACACCAACCAACTCTGCTCCATTCCGGCCAGCACCGGGGAACCCCCCACCACCATCCCGCTACAATGGCCGAGCCAACATACAATGCCATACCTGCCGTCAGTGGGGGCATACGTCCCGGGAGTGCACCCAGAATCTGAGTAGACAGGCGTGGAACCAAGTGCGGCAAAACGCCACTCCAAGGGCAGCAGCTCATTACTACCACACAGAACCTGACCACTCCGAGCTGGTAAGTCTGCAGACCGAGGAACCGTTGGGAGTTTTATACGAAGTGATGTCCGTGGCTTGCACTGACAACAGGCAGCATCACCGTCAAGTTGTGTTTGTAGGGGGGGAAAGAAGTACAGGGGCTGAGGGACTCGGGAGCCACGTTAACCCTGGTTGCTCCACATTTGGTTCCAGATGCGGCCCACACTGGCGGATCAGTGGCGGTCAGGGTAGCAGGGGGAGCCATGTACCGGCTACCCACTGCCAAGGTGCATTTGAACTGGGGTGCTGGGGAGGGGGTTGTGGAAGTAGCGGTAATGAAGAAATTATTGTTGTGTTGGGGAATGACTTGGGCCAGATGACTTCAGCTTTTCTACCTCAGGCTCCTTCGCACGAAGCTCATCCCGTAACTACCCGGCAGCAGGCTCGCACCACGGTACCACCAGCACACTCTGAGGCTCAGGTAAGAAACCATGACCCCCCCTTGACGCATATGACCTGGGACACCCCGAACACTTTTGAAGCAGAGGTCCAGACAGGTGTACCGAGATAGGGTAGACACGGACCAGGTGGGGCGGGAGGGGGAACGGTACATTTGGGAAAACAGGTTGTTGTACCGGGTAGCTGAAAGGGCAATAGGAAACTCTGTGACCCTCCAAACTAAACAGCTGGTAGTACCCCAGAAGTATAGACATGAGTTACTGAGAATAGCCCATGACATCCCTCTGTCCGGCCATTTAGGGATGACCCGTACCCGGTATCGCTTAACTCACGCTTTCTTTTGGCCCGGGATTTCTAAAGATGTAAGACACTATTGTACCTCCTGTGATGTGTGTCAGCAGGTAGGCAAGAGAGGGGATCGCCACAAGGCGAAACTGTGTCCCCTACCTATAATTGAGGAACCGTTCAGCCGTGTGGCTGTGGATATAGTGGGACCACTACCAAAACCCAGCCCCTCTGGGAAGCGGTATATACTGACCGTGGTGGACTAAGCCACCCGGTACCCCGAGGCGATTGCCCTAACCAATATTCATGCGGAGACAGTGGCCAAAGCCCTGATGAAAATCTTTTCCAGAGTAGGGTTCCCGCAGGAAATTGTCTCCGATAGGGGGACACAATTTACGGCCGAGGTTACTCAGCAGTTATGGAAGATATGTGGCATTAAGCCAATCATTAACTCTGCCTACCACCCCCAATCCAACGGATTGTGTGAGAGGTTCAACGGTACCCTAAAAACAGATGCTCCGTACATTCGGAGAGACCCATAAGGACTGGGAACGATTCCTTCCCCATCTGTTGTTTGCCTACAGAGAGGTACCCCAAGAATCTACCGGTTTCTCCCCATTTGAACTGTTATTTGGGAGAAGGGTGCGGGGACCGTTGGATCTCATTAGAGAGCATTGGGAGGGGGAGAGTAGCGCAGATGGGACCCCTATTGTACCATACGTGCTGGTGTTCCGGGATCGCCTGGAGGAATTAACTCAGGCAGTGTGCACCAACCTCCAGGCCGCCCAGCAACGACAGCGTCGTTGGTATGACAGAGGGGCCAGAGACCGTAGTTTTCAAGTGGGGCAGAAGGTGTTAGTCCTCAAACCTGTCCGCACAGACAAACTACAGGCCGTCTGGCAGGGCCCATACCAGGTGGTAGAGCAGAGATGCGATACCACCTATGTGATCGGCCCATGCTCCGGAGTAGGGAAGCGACGCATGCTCCATGTGAACATGCTCAAACCCTACCACGAGCGAACCGAGGACGTGGCAGCCATTTGCACGCCCGCCTCGGAGGATCAGGAGAACTTACCTCTCCCAGATCTGTTAGAGCAGGAGGAGCCCTCCCAGGGGGTTCAGCTGGGGGAGCGGCTAAGTCCTCAAGAGCGCACCCAGGTACGGGAACTGATAGCGGCAAAGGGCGCCACCTTTTCTAACTTACCTGGGTACACTCCACTAGCCACTCACCGAGTAGAAATCCCGGGACAGCTCCCCATGCGACAAACCCCACATCGGATTCCCGAATCCGTGCGGGAACATATGAGGAAAGAGATTGAAGAGATGTTGCAGTTGGGGGGTTATCGAACACTCCGATAGCCCCTGGGCATCACCGGTAGTCCGGTCCCCAAGAAAGACGGTACCACCTGGTTTTGTGTGGACTACCGGAGGTTGAACGACAAAACCGTGTCGGACGCTTACCCGATGCCCCCGATAGACGAACTGCTAGATAGGATGGCCAGAGGCCAGTATCTCACGACAATAGATCTTTGTAAGGGATACTGGCAAATTCCATCCCCAAGTCGGCGTTTGTCACCCCGTTTGGCTTGTACCAATTTCGAGTCATGCCATTCGGGATGAAGAACGCCCCCGCGACATTCCAGCGGATGGTGGATCGGCTACTGGACGGGTTCCAGGATTATGCGTGTGCATACCTGGATGATATTGCCATCTACAGCCAGACCTGGGCTGATCACCTACAACATATAGGGGCTGTAATAGATTGGATTAGAGAGGCAGGGCTTACCTTGAAACCCAGCAAGTGCCACATAGGGATGGCGGAGGTACAATACTTAGGACACCGGGTAGGGAGCGGACAACAGAAGCCTGAGCCCGCAAAGATTGAAGCCGTAGCCCAGTGGCCTACCCCTAGGACTAAAACCCAAGTCCTTGCCTTCTTAGGTACCGCCGGGTATTATAGGAAATTTGTGCCCAATTACAGTGCCCTGGCCAAACCCCTGACTGACTTGAAGAAAAACCTGCCCAGGCAGGTCATCTGGGCCCCAGAGTGTGAACAGGCATTCAACCAACTGAAGACGGCTCTGACCAATGCCCCTGTACTAGCTGCTCCTGATCCAACTAAACGTTTTCTTGTCCACACAGACACCTCAATGTTTGGATTGGGAGCAGTACTGAGCCAGGTCGGAGCAGACGGCGGAGAACATCCCGTAGCATATTTGAGCCGGAAATTGTTACCTAGAGAAGTGAGCTACACCGCCATAGAAAAAGAATGCCTGGCCGTGGTGTGGGCCCTGAAAAAGTTACAACCATATCTCTATGGGCAACCCTTTTCTCACAGATCACAACCCGTTGGTGTGGCTGCACCGTGTGGCTGGAGACAATGCCAGGCTGCTGCGCTGGAGTTTAGCGCTACAGCCTTTTGACTTTACTATCCATTACCGCCCAGGAAAACAAAACGGTAACGCCGACGGGTTATCTAGACAAACAGACCTTGAGAAGTGATCTGTGAGCGCTCCTCCGGACATCCCCAAGCCGATCCGTTGGGATCAGACTGTGTATGCCGGCTTGGTTCTGGGGGAGCATTGTGGCAAACCTAGCCACTTGGACTGTATCAAGAGACTATACCTTTAAGGGTTGCCTATATGTCGGTGGGGATATGGGTCATCTATGTATAATGTATGAGGGCTGTAATAACTGTGTATTCCCTGTGTGTGCGCTATCCGCCGAATGCAGATGGCTATCTGTATGAGGATTTCCTTTCGTTTCACGAAAGGCACTTTGGCGGGCCGTTCGTGAACCGAAAACACCCCATGTAGTAGCCCACACACTTAGAGGCGTGTGGCGCTTATTAACCGATTGCAACAATGTTGCAATCGGTAATTAGAGGCTCTCCTGTGTGGCCGCCGTTCGACTACCGACCATGTGGCGGTAGGCCATCTTGGATCCTTTGTTCCCTCAGCGGTGTTAGGTCGTCGAGCGCATGGTACTAAAAACGGCTACTCAACGGCACGAACACCGCTGAGCCTCCAGGACGTTCGGGAGTTCCGGGCCGTTCGGTATTTCATTCCCTGGAAGGCAATCGGTCTTTTTAATATGTTTCTCAATAAATGTGTTTTTCGTGCGGCGTTCGGTTATTTTAGCTGGGATCTGAGCGGTAATCACACGAATGATGCGCTCAGACCCCAGCTATCTACCGAACGTCCATTCGTGCAAATAAACTGCATATTCGAAAAGTTACAGATTTTTATATAAATTGTCGGTTCTGCTGCACGGAGGGATAATCCACAACAGTATATTCCAGTGGGAGGATCCCTCTCGTGCAGCAGTGCCTGATGGGAGAAATGTTTTGTACTGTAAGTTCTCCATGTAGTCCCCTCTGGGAGTGCCCCTGGGAAGGGACTCAGGAAACCCCTTGCATGGGGACTTGTATAAATTGTGAAGCAGAATTAAAGGACTTCAGTTGACTCTCAGAACTGTGTTTCGTCCGGTTACTGGGAGGTTGGGGATATTGCCTTGTGGTTTCAGCGCTTGACTGTGAATTACTTCCTGAACCAGCGGAATTCGTGGATTTAATATTGGCGTTCCGCTACAGGGTACACCGAGCCCTGGGCGCAAGAAGCACAGATGCAAAGCAACAGAGAGACGTCATTATGCGCTTTCAGTTCTACCAGACAAAAGAAACACTTATGAAGTGGAGCAGAGAAGGACCCATTACATATAAAGGGACCACCATTTCACTCTATCAGGACCTCTCCCCTGCAACACTTGAGAGACGCAGAGCCTGGAGACCGGTCACAGACCTGCTACGCACAAACAACATCAAATACGCGTGGGGACTCCCCTTTAAACTAATGGCCTTCAAGAATGGGAGACCGAAGATTCTGCTCCCAGACAGAGATGTGGACACCTTTCTCCGAGCACTGGACATCCCTAGGCCACAGACATTCCAGTGGCAACCGACCACCACAACTGACCTGCAGCTCCTCCCGAGAGAGTGGTATGAGGTGGAGGAGTAATAATACAGGCCGTCTTAGAGGGACCCCTTCACGCTATGCAGCTCCTATACCCACCTTCCCGCGGACTTATCGGAATCCGAAAATTTTAAACAAAGGGGGGGATGGACACCAAATGAATCCATGGAGACTGACAAGCAATGGCCGGACTATCACCGACGTACACCGCTGCCATGCGGATATCAAGGGTACAAGCCTCAGGGACTCAACATGTAGAATGTCAACACTAGGCGGGGGGCAGAGTCAGTGCTGGGGGCATCCCGCTCAGCTCCCCTCGACAAACACGGATGGCCGGGGCATCCGGCGCGGACGCTCGCGCCCCCTGGTCATGGACACTGCATAGCCACTGAAGGTGCGGAGACAGACAGTGGGGAACCCTGGGTCAATGGGGGATGTGAGGGAGGGGAGGGATGCGGTGAACAACAGGGTCACTGGGAAAATTACCATGGGGGACTCCCCAGGGGGCGACCGTAGTGGAAACAATCTTAAACTGTGCACAGTCGTATACTAGAAACGGGCCGATAGGCGCATTCGTGCAGTAGAGGGTCCATGCCTCCGCGCAACTCACCCCATGGCAAAGGGTGGGACGAGCGGATGCATGCGCTCCAACCCAGTCTGGCACCAAATAAGACCAGACGATTTTTGGTTGTTAAAAACACATGTTTTACCTATGTTTTTGATCTATATATCTACTTCCCCCTTCACCTACCCAGTTACCCCTCATCCTTTCATGCCCCGGACGACACAACAAGCACAGCGGCAGATGGAGGCAAAGCCCAGCGGGGGCGCACAGGACTCAGCGGGGAGATAAAGACAGCTGACGACAACAGTGAGTCACCACATAACATCCTTACTCACACATTAACATGCCTATAAAAATTACCTCCTTAAAACGTGAATGGGTTAAATGCAGGCCAAAAAAAAAAAAATAAATAAAAAAAAAAACAAAACAAAAAAACGCCTTCTCTTTAGAGAACTAAAGAGACTATATCCGGACATAACCTTTTTGCAAGAGACGCACCTACCACGCACACTGGGAATGACACTAAAAGACCACATATACACCACAGGCTACGAGGCACGCTCACAAAGGAAACGCAATGGGGTGGCGATATTACTCCACAAACGATGCCCCATGCGCGTCACAGGAATTGACATGGACTATTCGTGATAGTCTCGGGAACGCTATTAGCGCACACAATCAACCTCATCAATATTTACGCACCCAATGACCCATCCAGGGAGTTCTGGGAGCGTATCCAAAATAAAAATCACCACACTATCTCATTTAATGATTATCATGGGGGGGGCGACCTCAACGCGGTAACCCAGCCCTGCTGTAGATAGGGGACATGGAAGGGGACTGCCACGTTCGCAGGGTAGAGGAAGACAGGATAGACTGATTCATGAATTTATACAAGCCACAGGACTAATTGACATTTGGAGGACACAACACCCAGGGGAAACAGACTACACATTTTACTCCACACCACACGACTCGTATTCACGCATTGACTATTTCTTAGTGAATAATCAAACCATACCTAGAATTAAAAAATACACAGTGGGTTCGATCACCTGGTCGGACCACGCTGATCTAAGCATTGAATTGGATGACCTATGCACCAAGACAGCATGGTCGTGGAAATTGAATGCTTCCCTGTTACAAGACCCCAAAGTAAAGGCGACCATACAAACAGAGATCACAATACTTTCATTTGAACATGACCCCAGATGTATCCCCGGCGACCATATGGGCCGCACATAAAAGTCAGTTATCAGAGGGGCGCTTTTCAGGGAAGCCACCCGCAAAAAGAAACGCAAGACCCAAAAGCTACAAGCTTTTCTGACGGACTTACGCACTTTAGAACACAAACACAAAACAGACCCGACGGTCTTCAAAAACTGAATACCGTGAGACGGCACATACGGGAAAAACTCTCCTAGATGACGTAGCCAGGGACATAACAGTCCAAGAGGACATTTTACGAACACGCAAATAAGATGGACACATTCCCGGCCTGCACATTACGCCTGAGACCAAGACATGCACACATCACAAGGACTAAAGATTGCAGCGGCCATACAAAAACAGCACCAACAGAAATAGCAGAAGTCTTCACGGACTTCTTCAAAACCCTTTACAATCACTCCCCTGGGGACAACAATGACGACATAACATATCGAGAGGCCATACACACTTATCTCACGAAACTACAACTACCCAAACTAAGCCCAACAACTCAAACCGTCCTCGGTGCTGAGATCACAGCAGACGAGATAGACCGAGCCATAACACGACTCAAGGGACATAAAGCCCCTGGACCAGACGGATATGAGGGAAGCTACTATAAAACATTCAGGACGGAGCTGATGCCACATATGCTCAAATGGTACAATTATTTAATGGAGGGGGGCGCCCGGATCCTGAAATGTCCACAGCACACATAGTCCTCTTACCGAAGGCAGGGAAAGACGCCACAAGACCCGAACACTATAGACCAATATCACTTATCAATCACGATGTCAAAATACTAGCTAAGATATTAGCTGACAGACTATCTCCACAACTAACAAGACTAATAAATGCAGACCAGGTGGGTTTCATTCCAGGACGTCAGCTCTTTGAGAACACCAGACGAAACATTGATCTAATTTAGACCCAGACAAAGGCCACAGTCCTGACGCTACTCCTCTCCCTTGACGCTGAAAAGGGCTTTGATAGGGTGAAATGGCCATACATGTTTGCCCTCTTACAACACCTAAACATTCCAGGGACGTACCTTACGACAATAAAAGCTATGTACACAGATGTAAAAGCACAAATTAAAATCACAGGGGCCAAGACTACACCTTTTCCCCTCCATAACGGTATGAGACAAGGCTGACCACTCTCGCCCCTGTTGTTCGTGCTCTCCCTGGAGCCCCTACTACAGGCCATCCGCACCAATCCCAGCATCGAAGGCGTTCACGTAGGGAGACAGACATATAAAGTTTCAGGATATGCGGACGACATACTCCTCACTCTCACAAACCCTAAAAGCTCCATGTTGGCCCTAACGAATGAACTGACTGAATATAGTGCCTTATCAGGATACCAGGTTAACCTCTCAAAATCAAATGCCCTCCCTATAGCCATGACGACAACTGACGCGACATACATACGAGATAAACACCACATCCCAATCACCTCCCAGTCTATAAAATACCTGGGAATACAGATCACAGGAGACCCCACACAGTTGTACACCGCTAACTACACTCCCCTCCTCAAGACACTTCTAGCGGACCTGGGGAAATGGGTGGACAAACCAATCTCGTGGATTGGAAGAATCCACACGATAAAAATGAATGTTTTACCCAGGCTGCTGTTCTTTTTCCAGGCATTGCCCATACCAATCACGAAATGGGACCTGGCACCCCTACAGGAAACAATAGGGGAATTTATTTGGCAGCACAAAAGACATAGGGTGTCTAAGCATGTACTATAATCGCCCCAAAGACAGGGGGGGGAGGGACGACTGGGCCTACCACATCTACACAATTACTACCTGGCGGCACAGATAGCTATGTGGCACTCGACACCGGAGGATCGCAAGTGGGTGGACCTCGAGTCAGAACTGATTGGCATAGACTTACCCCAATTCTACATTTGGCTGCCGAAGGAGCACAGGGCACTAATCCGCACACAATGCCCAGCGATCTTAAATTCCCTTAGATAATGGGATGCCACGGCCCTGAAATATGAAACATCATCCCCCTCTCCTATGATGCCCATCCTAAGGAACAGGGCATTCCCCCCAGGAATGCGGGCACACGACTAAAAATGAATAGAAGAGACAGACCTACAGAGAGCACTACACCTCTGACAGAAAAAGCTAGACTAAAGCCTGCTGACTTTAGATATATTCAAATACGTGATTTTGCACAACACACCTTAGCAAAGACAGCAGCCCACACTAAATTAACGAGTTTCAAACAGATGTGCTTCAGGGGAAACCCCCATATACGCCCACTTAAGCTCCAACACTCCCGAAAGGGGTGAGCTTCACTACATAAACACAATGGGAAACAGACCTGGGGGAGGTCCTAGAGGGCACAGAATGGAGAGAAATCTGGGAAGCAAACAAGGCCACTTCGATATGCGTAACACAACAGGAACAGGCATACAAAACCATGTTCAGATGGTATACCACACCAGTAAAATTATACCACATGCACAAATCTATAGATGACCTGTGTTGGAGGGGGTGCGGACATAAGGGGACATACAAGCACATGTGGTGGGACTGCCACAAAGCAAAAACCTTCTGGGTGGGGGTGTGGAGTTTGCTAGAGAGGGTGTTCCAAAGACAGATCAACATAGACCCGTGGGTGTTCCTTTTATCCAGACCAATAGATAACTGGCCGAGAATGGAACAAAAATTGTTCAACAACATCATCTTAGCAGCTAGACAAACAATGGCACAGAGCTGGCTCAAGCCAGATATTCCCCAGATTAACGCAGTCATAAATACGATAAAAGACGCCCACGTAATGGACCGACTAACATCCCAAATCAGGGGCACACTAAAGGCACACAAAAAAGTATGGGAACTCTGGTCGGCTGGGGACTGGGGAGACTAGGAGAAGGGAAGGAAATAGAGACATCATACACACACTCACATGACTAACGCACACCCTACTCCCCACACAATGGCCAGGGAATCAGGGTACCAGAGATGGAAAAGTGGCACCCGCCGGGCCAACAAACCTCCAAGCGGATAAGACAAAGAGAGCATGAGAACCAGAAAACTCCACTTTACTCCGACCCAGCCACGAGAAAGACGTGGAGGGCCTGTTACAGTTAATGGTCATGGAACAGTTCTTTGACGGGATACCTTCCCACCTACAGAATTGGGTAAGGGACCAAAAGCCACACACCCTGCAAGAGGCTGCCAAGTTGGCGGATGAGTTCCAAGATACCCGGAGGGACCAGCGCACCCAAAACCGACCAGTATATAACCCTGCACCAACGATACCAGCGGTGACCTCTACTATCCAAAATGCCTACACCCCCAGGTACACTGCACGTCTGCCAATTCGTTGCCACACCTGCAACCAGCAGGGGCATATCCAGCGAGACTGTCCACGTAACCGACCCAGGCCCAGCTGGAATAATACAGCACCTAGCAGCCGTACACTGTGTACAAACAGAACAGCATGGAGCAACCGAGGCAGTCACTCCAAGTAGCTTATCTAAGCCAAAAACCATTACCCAGAGAAGTAAGCTACGTCGCCATTGAAAAGGAGTGCCTGGCTGTGGTGTGGGCCCTCAAAAAACTGCAACCCTATTTATATGGGCAACTATTTACCTTACTCACAGATCACAACCCGTTGGTGTGGCTGAACAGGGTGTCAGGAGACAATGCCAGGCTGCTGCGCTGGAGTTTGGCACTGCAGCCTTTTGACTTTACCATTCACTACCGCCCTGGGAAGCAAAATGGCAACGCCGACGGGTTATCCCGACAAACAGACCTTGAAAAGTGATCTGTGAGTACTCCTCCGGACATCCCCAAGCCAATCCGTTGGGATCAGACTGTATATGCCTGGCTTGGTTCTGGGGGAGCATTGTGGCAAAACTAGCCACTTATGACTGTATTTGCATTAATGTGTTGCTATAGCTTTAAGGTTGTTAGAACCAAGTGTATTCAGATATCTGTATTTCATGCGAACAAGAGCATTCGTATGCTGGCGGCATCTGATTAATTTATGCTGTTCATGTTACCCAGCGGAGATACTGTGGATTATACTACCTCTCCGCTACAGGCAGCCTTTAATACTCACTTTAGGACATGGCTGGACCGCACAATCTCTCAGCCCACAATGGCTGTCGTCATCCCAGAATGGGCATGCTTTGTTTAGGTTCACCTGCACAAAATAAAACGAATTCAGTGATATTGACGTAGAAAGACACACAGCTTTGAGGACATATGGAATATCTGCCAGCGTTTCACCTGCCGGTGAGGTGCTCGGCGCAAACAAGAAATTTTAACCACCACATCAGCCCTGCGTCCCCAATCATATTAACCCTGAACCCAAACTCCCACTACTCTTGGGCAGCATAAGTTGTTATAGCATTTAAGCCCCATTGTTTAAACACACATTAATCTTTATGTCCATTTAATTAACAGAGGTTTTAGTACCGCTGCAGTAGCCATTAGAGTATAAGCTCATATGCTTTCAGTCAAAACATAGCTAGAGGGACCGACTTTTAGTGAAGCCGGATGTCATCACTGGCCACCCAGGTAAAATGTCAAGCCATTGCAAAGACAGCTTGCCCCATTACTGGTGAAGGAGGTCAAGGTAGTAGTTATGGTAATAACCCTGTGTCATGCTCACAGCGGGAGATTAGAACACTAAATAAATCAGCTTACCTTGTAATATCGGAAATAGTCACTCTCCAGGAGGATTTGTAGTTTAGAAAAGAGTTTGGAATTAAAATGGTCGATTGTTTCCACATCACAAGTACAGTCATCCAGCACGCCGCTCACCTGGACAAATTTCAAGAGAAATGCATCATTTAGCAGGGCGAGACTTACACCACCGGTTGGTCTATCCTCAAATGGCTCCTACAGTCAGACAGGTGATCTAGGCCTAGCCCTGCTAAATCCGTCCGTCCTCGAATGGCTCCTACAGTCTGACAGGTGATCTAGCCCTGCTAAATCCGTCCGTCCTCGAATGGCTCCTACAGTCTGACAGGTGATCTAGCCCTGCTAAATCCGTCCGTCCTCGAATGGCTCCTACAGTCAGACAGGTGATCTAGCCCTGCTAAATCCGTCCATCCTCGAATGGCTCCTACAGTCAGACAGGTGATCTAGGCCTAGCCCTGCTAAATCCGTCCGTCCTCGAATGGCTCCTACAGTCTGACAGGTGATCTAGCCCTGCTAAATCCGTCCATCCTCGAATGGCTCCTACAGTCTGACAGGTGATCTAGCCCTGCTAAATCCGTCCGTCCTCGAATGGCTCCTACAGTCAGACAGGTGATCTAGGCCTAGCCCTGCTAAATCCGTCCGTCCTCGAATGGCTCCTACAGTCAGACAGGTGATCTAGGCCTAGCCCTGCTAAATCCGTCCGTCCTCGAATGGCTCCTACAGTCAGACAGGTGATCTAGCCCTGCTAAATCCGTCCGTCCTCGAATGGCTCCTACAGTCAGACAGGTGATCTAGCCCTGCTAAATCCGTCCATCCTCAAATGGCTCCTACAGTCAGACAGGTGATCTAGGCCTAGCCCTGCTAAATCCGTCCGTCCTCGAATGGCTCCTACAGTCAGACAGGTGATCTAGGCCTAGCCCTGCTAAATCCGTCCGACCTCGAATGGCTCCTACAGTCAGACAGGTGATCTAGGCCTAGCCAGACAGGTGATCTAGGCCTAGCCCTGCTAAATCCGTCCGTCCTCGAATGGCTCCTACAGTCTGAAAGGTGATCTAGCCCTGCTAAATCCGTCCGTCCTCGAATGGCTCCTACAGTCAGACAGGTGATCTAGGTCTAGCCCTGCTAAGCCAGTCTGTCTATCCACAAATGGCACCATAAACCCTGCGCAGGGTTAAGGGAAAGAAGGGGTTAGGGTCCAGGGGAACATTGCCCCCTCTTCGGCCTGTAATGAATGCTGCCGCAAGGCCGAGTATCTCGACTGACAGTTATTCCCATCGCCAATCTTTACACTGGTTTCCTGTACCCTGGAGAATGCAATTCAAACTGCTAACGCTAACCTACAAAGCTCTCACTAACGCCACTCCATTTCTTCTTTACTCAACAAATACACTCCTTCCTGTTCGTCACATTGCGAGCGACCTTCTCCTATATCTGATGGATTTTGTTAAGTGCCCTGTTCCTATGGAATTCTCTACCCTGCGCCAGATTTTCCACTAGCCTCCGGTCCGTTGGAGGAACACAAACACGTATTCCCGACGTTATATAGTGTTCTAGTCCCCAATTTGAGTCAGGGCGCCCGACCCCATTGCAGCGATTAACAAGTGTATTTTACAGCACTGAGACTCACTCTGCCGTCAGCTCCTCCTCCTGCGACATCATCTAGCAGGCGGTGCTTTGTTGCCTTCTCATACAATCCTTCCCGGTGAGCAGCATTTGGGACGACCTCGAGGATGTCAAACATCACATGTCCGCGTTTTATCGCTTTCTTGCAGCAGAGGTGGCGGTCAGGAAGATAGCCAATGGCATGTTTAACCCTTTAATGTAAACATTGCACCCAGACTACTTTATTCCAATGCGATTTGTCAATAAAGTGGTCTGGGTCCCTTTAAGAAGTCACTGAAAAGGTCTCTTTAGGAAATCCTACACCTCGCTATCCTCCTCACAACACTTACCAGTTTATTCAACAGCGGCATCTTATCCATCAATCCTGCCTTCCTCTGACATGGGCTATGTCTCATGTGTATCTTTACCCCTTCCTCATAGATTGGGAGCTCCTTCACAGAGCCTCATAGATTGGGAGCTCCTTCACAGAGCCTCATAGATTGGGAGCTCCTTCACAGAGCCTCATAGATTGGGAGCTCCTTCACAGAGCTTCATACTTTGGGAGCTCCTTCACAGAGCTTCATACTTTGGGAGCTCCTTCACAGAGCTTCATACTTTGGGAGCTCCTTAGAGCAGGGCTTTCTTCAGTGGTCACGGTTCTATTCTGCCAATTTCTTGTATATCCCCATCCTACAATTATAAAGCGTTGTGGAATATGTTGCAGATATATCATAATACAGGGTTAATGTGATACCTGAATTCTCATTACTGCTCCTCCCTTCCAGGTTGTCTATTGACACTTTGTATCAGACAGGTGGGGGGGTAGATCTATTGACACTTTGTATCAGACAGGTGGAGGGGGGGTAGATCTATTGACACACTTTGTATCAGACAGGTGGGGGGGTAGATCTATTGACACACTTTGTATCAGACAGGTGGAGGGGGGTAGATCTATTGACACTTTGTATCAGACAGGTGGAGGGGGGGTAGATCTATTGACACTTTGTATCAGACAGGTGGAGGGGGGGTAGATCTATTGACACACTTTGTATCAGACAAGTGGAGTGGGGGGGGGTAGATCTATTGACACTTTGTGTCAGACATGGTTAGATCTATTGGTACTTTATATCAGACACTGCCCCCTTGCACTCAGGTGAGCACCTACCTGACAGAAGCAGTTCTGGGCAGCATTGCTGTGTTCTTGCAGGAAGACCCCCCAGGGCAGAAGCCCACAGACCAGGAGGAGAGAGCCCAGGGACTCCATGCTCCAGCTCTGATCACAATGCAGGAAGTAGGCGTGTGAGTCAGTGAGTGATACTTAGTACGTGTCTATATACACACAGCAGGTACTGCCCCACCTGTTATTGGTAGGAATAAGGTGCAGCCTAACTCCCATCACTGCAAGCAATCTGACTTTAATATCATGCTGTTATTCTGGGTAATCCCCATCAGGGGGAAGCAGTGAACACAAATGACACCTACTATACAATAAAGACATATATCCTATAGGAGGCGGTCAAGGCACAGCCTGGCACACACTGTGCATGCCGTAGATTTATGATGGTGCAGGCCTGTGATGTAAGACACTATGAGGACCGTATCATGTTTCATTTTTCCCTTTACTGGTAGAATTGTTAACCCTTTAAAGACACACTCTAGGCACCATAACCACTTCTCATTAGTGCTGCCCCATTTCAATGTTAAACCATTTCCGCCATGGGACGCAGAGTGTAATACCAGTCCGCAGCAGTGATTGGCTCACTGAATGAGGGTCCCTGGATCCATGTGGCCCCTCTCTTGGGTGGTGTTATGGCGACGCAGAGTGTAATACCAGTCCGCAGCAGTGATTGGCTCACTGAATGAGGGTCCCTGGATCCATGTGGCCCCTCTCTCGGGTGGTGTCATGGCGATGGGGAGTGTAATACCAGTCCGTAGCAGTGATTGGCTCACTGAATGAGGGTCCCTGGATCCATGTGGCCCCTCTCTCGGGTGGTGTTATGGTGATGCTGTAGCCATGTGGCCCCTCTCTCGGGTGGTGTCATGGCGATGGGGAGTGTAATACCAGTCCGTAGCAGTGATTGGCTCACTGAATGAGGGTCCCTGGATCCATGTGGCCCCTCTCTCGGGTGGTGTCATGGCGATGTGGAGTGTAATACCAGTCCGCAGCAGTGATTGGCTCACTGAATGAGGGTCCCTGGAGCCATGTGGCCCCTCTCTCGGGTGGTGTCATGGCGATGGGGAGTGTAATACCAGTCCGTAGCAGTGATTGGCTCACTGAATGAGGGTCCCTGGATCCATGTGGCCCCTCTCTCGGGTGGTGTCATGGCGATGGGGAGTGTAATACCAGTCCGTAGCAGTGATTGGCTCACTGAATGAGGGTCCCTGGATCCATGTGGCCCCTCTCTCGGGTGGTGTTATGGTGATGCTGGAGCCATGTGGCCCCTCTCTCGGGTGGTGTCATGGCGATGGGGAGTGTAATACCAGTCCGTAGCAGTGATTGGCTCACTGAATGAGGGCCCCTGGATCCATGTGGCCCCTCTCTCGGGTGGTGTTATAGTGATGCTGGAGCCATGTGGCCCCTCTCTCGGGTTGTGTCATGGCGATGGGGAGTGTAATACCAGTCCGTAGCAGTGATTGGCTCACTGAATGAGGGTCCCTGGATCCATGTGGCCCCTCTCTTGGGTGGTGTCATGGCGATGGGGAGTGTAATACCAGTCCGCAGCAGTGATTGGCTCACTGAATGAGGGTCCCTGGATCCATGTGGCCCCTCTCTCGGGTGGTGTCATGGCGATGGGGAGTGTAATACCAGTCCGTAGCAGTGATTGGCTCACTGAATGAGGGTCCCTGGATCCATGTGGCCCCTCTCTCGGGTGGTGTTATGGTGATGCTGGAGCCATGTGGCCCCTCTCTCGGGTTGTGTCATGGCGATGTGGAGTGTAATACCAGTCCGTAGCAGTGATTGGCTCACTGAATGAGGGTTCCTGGATCCATGTGGCCCCTCTCTCGGGTGGTGTCATAGCGATGGGGAGTGTAATACCAGTCCGTAGCAGTGATTGGCTCACTGAATGAGGGCCCCTGGATCCATGTGGCCCCTCTCTTGGGTGGTGTTATGGCGATGGGGAGTGTAATACCAGTCCGTAGCAGTGATTGGCTCACTGAATGAGGGCCCCTGGATCCATGTGGCCCCTCTCTTGGGTGGTGTTATGGCGATGGGGAGTGTAATACCAGTCTGTAGCAGTGATTGGCTCACTGAATGAGGGTCCCTGGATCCATGTGGCCCCTCTCTCGGGTGGTGTCATGGCGATGGGGAGTGTAATACCAGTCCGTAGCAGTGATTGGCTCACTGAATGAGGGTCCCTGGATCCATGTGGCCCCTCTCTCGGGTGGTGTTATGGTGATGCTGGAGCCATGTGGCCCCTCTCTCGGGTTGTGTCATGGCGATGGGGAGTGTAATACCAGTCCGTAGCAGTGATTGGCTCACTGAATGAGGGTCCCTGGATCCATGTGGCCCCTCTCTCGGGTGGTGTTATGGTGATGCTGGAGCCATGTGGCCCCTCTCTCGGGTTGTGTCATGGCGATGGGGAGTGTAATACCAGTCCGTAGCAGTGATTGGCTCACTGAATGAGGGTCCCTGGATCCATGTGGCCCCTCTCTCGGGTGGTGTTATGGTGATGCTGGAGCCATGTGGCCCCTCTCTCGGGTGGTGTCATGGCGATGGGGAGTGTAATACCAGTCCGTAGCAGTGATTGGCTCACTGAATGAGGGTCCCTGGATCCATGTGGCCCCTCTCTCGGGTGGTGTTATAGTGATGCTGGAGCCATGTGGCCCCTCTCTCGGGTTGTGTCATGGCGATGGGGAGTGTAATACCAGTCCGTAGCAGTGATTGGCTCACTGAATGAGGGTCCCTGGATCCATGTGGCCCCTCTCTCGGGTGGTGTTATGGTGATGCTGGAGCCATGTGGCCCCTCTCTCGGGTGGTGTCATGGCGATGGGGAGTGTAATACCAGTCCGTAGCAGTGATTGGCTCACTGAATGAGGGCCCCTGGATCCATGTGGCCCCTCTCTCGGGTGGTGTCATGGCGATGGGGAGTGTAATCCCAGTCCGTAGCAGTGATTGGCTCACTGAATGAGGGTCCCTGGATCCATGTGGCCCCTCTCTCGGGTTGTGTCATGGCGATGGGGAGTGTAATACCAGTCCGCAGCAGTGATTGGCTCACTGAATGAGGGTCCCTGGATCCATGTGGCCCCTCTCTCGGGTGGTGTCATGGCGATGGGGAGTGTAATACCAGTCCGCAGCAGTGATTGGCTCACTGAATGAGGGTCCCTGGATCCATGTGGCCCCTCTCTTGGGTGGTGTTATGGCGACGCAGAGTGTAATACCAGTCCGCAGCAGTGATTGGCTCACTGAATGAGGGTCCCTGGATCCATGTGGCCCCTCTCTCGGGTGGTGTCATGGCGATGTGGAGTGTAATACCAGTCCGCAGCAGTGATTGGCTCACTGAATGAGGGTCCCTGGAGCCATGTGGCCCCTCTCTCGGGTGGTGTCATGGCGATGGGGAGTGTAATACCAGTCCGTAGCAGTGATTGGCTCACTGAATGAGGGTCCCTGGATCCATGTGGCCCCTCTCTCGGGTGGTGTCATGGCGATGGGGAGTGTAATACCAGTCCGTAGCAGTGATTGGCTCACTGAATGAGGGTCCCTGGATCCATGTGGCCCCTCTCTCGGGTGGTGTTATGGTGATGCTGGAGCCATGTGGCCCCTCTCTCGGGTGGTGTCATGGCGATGGGGAGTGTAATACCAGTCCGTAGCAGTGATTGGCTCACTGAATGAGGGCCCCTGGATCCATGTGGCCCCTCTCTCGGGTGGTGTTATAGTGATGCTGGAGCCATGTGGCCCCTCTCTCGGGTTGTGTCATGGCGATGGGGAGTGTAATACCAGTCCGTAGCAGTGATTGGCTCACTGAATGAGGGTCCCTGGATCCATGTGGCCCCTCTCTCGGGTGGTGTCATGGCGATGGGGAGTGTAATACCAGTCCGTAGCAGTGATTGGCTCACTGAATGAGGGTCCCTGGATCCATGTGGCCCCTCTCTTGGGTGGTGTCATGGCGATGGGGAGTGTAACACCAGTCCGCAGCAGTGATTGGCTCACTGAATGAGGGTCCCTGGATCCATGTGGCCCCTCTCTCGGGTGGTGTTATGGTGATGCTGGAGCCATGTGGCCCCTCTCTCGGGTGGTGTTATGGTGATGCTGGAGCCATGTGGCCCCTCTCTCGGGTGGTGTCATGGCGATGGGGAGTGTAATATCAATCCGTAGCAGTGATTGACAACAGGGATGGACTGAGTGTGCGCCGCTGACGCTCTGACAATTGCTGTAAGGACTAGTTTATAGTGTCAGTACGAGCATCTGAGAGGGTCCAGGGAGCTCAGCAACTTTCAGGCCAAATAGCCAAGCTGCTCTGCCGAATCCATGACGTGTTGAGTTCCCTGGTGAATGCGAATTTGAAGTTTACTGAATAACCCACCAGGGTTAAAGAGCATTCCTGCGATGCCGTTAGCGGGAACATGGCGCTCGTTTCCATAGTAACAGACCCACGTTTGAAACTTTGACCCAGATTTACTTATTCTATACATCCCCCACAAAATGTCGCCAACACAAAACAAGCGGAGCAGTCACCATGGATACTAATGCAAGGTTTGATGCATTTTGTTTCCATGGAGTTAATCCTCACAGACTGGCTGAGGATGTTGGGAGTTGTACCTGCCGCACTGGAACCATTCTCTAAGTCGGCAATGTTTCAGGTTTGGATACTTTGGCCTTAAATTTGAAATTCACTTTTACTCCTTTTAGTGAATAAACCCAATTACATTTTTCTTATTAATGTCGCACACACACCATAGCCTTGGTGAGTCGATCACATTGAGAATGAGAAATCCCATCCGATGTCGAAATAATATAAAAATACCACAAATGTTCCACTATGTAGCAATACAAAATGCCCCTTGTAGAGGGTGCAAACCTCAAAGGGCTACAAGTTCGTTAGATTTTGTTGGGGGTATTTCCTCCCCCCGTGAGCAACAATTGTATCAATTGTAGGGCGGTTTCCCTCTCTCTCTACTTGCAAGATCCATCTTTGATTTTTCAGTCACCTACTGTGACAGACCCTCTGTCCCTGAATTTTAAACTTTGAAACTCTTTGTTCGTCTAACAGTTCGTATTGAAAAGATTCACCTTCATTTTACTAATGGCCGTTCAAATAACGAATTATCTACCGAACGACCGGCCACCCAGATCTGGAGCGTGGTGCTTGTTAACCCCTGTGACAAAGTGCCCTTCGCCACTTGGTCCTGGAGAGGCCTGCTTGCCAGCCTCCTCCCCTGTGACTATGACTCTTTCATGTATCTGGCTTTGGGGCCCCTAGTATACCTTCAGACAGACTATTTATGTAGGCTGCTTTATTTATCCTATGTTTTAGTCACCCTGTACCCATTATAGGTGCAGGGTGTGTGTAATGTAATTGTTTATAGTGTGTGTGTGTGTCGTGTTAAATGTATTGCCTGCTCTCCTGTACTGCTGAGGTTTGCTACCAACTAGGTGGGTTTGGCTATGGAGCTTGTCTAGTGCCCTCTGTTGGTAGCAATATGCAATATGCACTACCTGAATTGCAAGCCTGGTTCATTTGCATATTTGGGTAGATTTGCATATTGCTAATTCTGCAGGCAGGTGAGATATTTACTGTTAAATATTGTCTCCCCCACCCCTTTAAAAATGTGCCATTGTGTGTGTTGCCTGCTATGGTTTAACTGTTTGTGATTTTATTGAGTTTTCACAGCAATGTTAATGTTATCCCAAGGGAAATAAAGGTTTAGACAGTTCTTCTTGATCCCTCTAAATGTAGCCTTGTCTCGTTATCGGAGGGAGCTGTTATAATCACACTGGGGATTGCTATGCTCTGCATGCTCCCCTGAGCTTGAATCACTTAGCTCTTTTAAGAGCTTGTTCCTGACACGCTCTCCTTGGAGGAGGGGTTTTCACCACACAGTCCTGGATGCTGGAGGTTCATAAAGGGTGGAAGGAAGAGTTCTTTCCCACACGGTCCTGGAGAACAGAAGCTGATCCAGGGTGGAAGGAAGACGGCGAGACACCAGTCAAGATACAGCGGTTGCGGAGTCTGCGGTGGTTATGGTGTCTGCTGCACTGCTTGGAGTCCTCAGGAAGTGCTAGGAGCATCCATCAACGGAGGGTACTCAGTCGGAGTACAAGGAGCTCCGTTACAACCCCAATGCCCTTATTAACACATCTAAAAACCACAAACACCCTAACATTCCAAGTGATCAACTGGGTGGTCGGCATTCGTATGCACGAACACTTGGCGGCTGCCCTCTTGGGATACGAATGTGGCCAGCGGTGTTTTGTCGTCGAGTGTATGGAACTAAAAACCGGACACGCGACTGCACGAACACCGCTAAGACTTCCACTCCTTGTTCTGTTAGACAGTTAATGCACGAACGGAGCACCGTTCGTTAGATACAATGTACAAAACCAGTTACATTCAATGCTCATGTGTACGAACAGCCACATTTGACTCTTTTAATGGATTTTGACTGTACGAAAGAGACAAACCGCACAGCCTGATCCTCTGGAACTATTTTGGGCATGAAAACATGCGTGCGGTCGGTTAAAAGACTTCCACATAACTCTTGAACCCCTGAACCGATCTGGGTGATTTGTTTCCCAATATGTTGTTCCCCCAAATCAGGGGATATATGTTTTATGAGGTTCCCATATGTTTTCGGGGTGTTTGCAAAATTGGGTAAAAACTTTTTTTTGGGAGATAATTGAGTTGATACAGTAATTAACTCTATCTCCCAAACAGAGGGGAGGGCTTGTGTACAGCATCTGGGAGTGTTTAAGTGTAAAACTCTGTTTTTATTGGATTGTGAATTTCATGTTCTGTGCCCCACAAGGTCCACCTGGGCGGTAACCTTGTGGGGAAAAACTGTATAAAAGATCAGTATCTGCCATTAAACCTTCAGTTCTTACTTTACCCTCAATCTAGAGTCTTGTCTCTTATTGTGGGAAACTGCTATAAAGCTATCACACTAGCTCTTTTAAGAGCTTCTCTACTTGGATGACTGCTGGAATGCTGTGAATACCCCTCACACTCGGGAGAAGGACACCCTCTAGCGGTGGGAACCCCTCTACTCATTGGGGTAACTCCTACACCTACCTTTTAGCAAAATTTGAGGTTTGTGTGACGAGAATAAACTTTCAAAAACTAGCTGGGCTAAATATAATGTGTGAATTGCCAAGAATTCATAGTAAATTCCAAATTTAGGCTCAAATAGATAAATTTAAAGAATTCTCCAAAGCAGGTATTTTCAATGTGACCATTCTGGCCTGAAGTTTAAAAATCACTTTGAATTTCCAATATCCTAGAATTCGGTGAATAACAACCTATATGGCAGTGGTTCCCAAACCGGGCCAGAATTTAGGGATTAAGCAGTTTTTTTTTTTTTCTAAAATCACTTTAGACATAGCTGGGTAATCCCTAAATCCTGGACTGGTAGCAGTGGCTTGAGGACTGTTTTGGGAATCACTATTTGGTGTTTTTTTTTTTTTTTTATACGTACTAAATTCAGAATTGTAGCAAACAGATTCAAAAGGCAAAATGTCCAGAGTTGAGCAATTTTATTCAGCATTATTGTCTTTCACGCATGCGAACAGAGCTCGGCCATACACAGTCCGACCATGATGCTTTTTACTTTCTCAAGAGGACACCACATGGACTAATCGAAGAAGTGTACATGCTCCATAATTTTCTCTAGAAAAGTGGTGTTATTGACTGCAGTATCTCCTCCTAGGGATAGGCAACCTTTGGCACCCCAGATGTTGTGTACTTCATCCCCCCATAATGCTGGCAAAGCATCATGGGAGGTGTAGTCCAAGACATCTTTAGTGCCGAAGGTTGCCTCTGCTTGTCCAGTGAGAAAATGTTAATTGTATTCTCCAGCAATCAGCCCATTCTCCCATCACACAGACAGACAAGCGTGATTCATTCCTCCAGTCTAGGGTGGTGGTGTTCTATCATTCTGCTATACTCCGTCAGATTGCTATACCCCCGTCACTTCCGGGGATCCTGTGCTGCACATGCGTGCTAGCACTCCTGCTACTCCTCCACAGCAAGGTCCTGGAAGGTAAGTAAAACTAGTTTTACACGTTCATTATATTTAGTGCATTCACTAAGCTTAGGCACACGGGACATTTAGGGTTAAGTGATGGTTCAAATTAGGGTTAGGTAAGTGCTTCTAACCTCTCTCACACTCTATTCTTACCCTAACCCTTGGGGTAAGGGTTAAAATAAAGTGTGAGAAATCACTATTTAGTGATATTCCCCTAATGTGAAATATCACTAAATAGGAACAAGTCCTTAATCCTAATTTGAACCCTAACATTAACCCTAAATGTCCCATGTCCTAAGCTTAGTGAATGCACTAACTATAATGAAAGTGTAAAACTAGTTTCTTACCTTCCAGGACCTTGCTGTGGAGGAGTAGCAGGAGTTCTAGCACGCAAGTGCAGATCACCGGAAGTGACGGGGGTATAGCAATATGATGGGGTATAGCAGAATGATAGAACAGTGGCTGCATTGCATCATCTCAATGTCCGCTCATATGAAATATTTTTACTTTGAATTGCAGAGCAGGAAGTAAAGCGCACTGAGGTTTCCCTAGAAGATAACCAGGGTTAATGCTAAATTAAGGGATTCATTCACTAAACTGTGAGTTATGGTGAACCAAAAAGTGACGAACACATTTTATACCAAAATAACCAATCTGCGGGGAAAAAGTTTAACCCCTTAAGGACACATTATATGTGTGACATGTCATGATTCCCTTTTATTCCAGAAGTTTGGTCCTTAAGGGGTTAATTCTATTTCCAGCCCGGCTGAATACAGGTTTTCTTTTTAAAAAGGATGAGAGTTATTCATTATAACCCAAACTGCAGTGAACTGAAATATTATTTTAAGCTATTTTGCCGTTTGACTTTCATTCTCTATAATGTGGAGTTTAGAGAATAACCCTGTGAGAGCCATTCGAGCTCCTACATTCCCAAACGCACAATAAAAATAAATATAATGTGCGTGTGACCAATCGTCACTGAAACGCTTTCATTTTTAAACAGAAATAATATCATGAAACTTCCAAGCAGGTTTGCTATATAGTTTATTTGATATATCAAAATATATATATGTACATACTTTAATGAGAAAATTCTCCACCTCCATGTCTTTTAGCCAACATTAATTTTAGTGAACGTTCAAAACATTTCAAAGCTGAAACTACACTTCAAAAAAGTTTGTTAAAAGAAGGGATTTGCAGCCTAAACGGTGACGTTCAGTAGTCCTAGTAGCAGGACATATCTTCAGCCAGCCAGCCAGCAGGGGGAGAGCAAAGCTTGAGACATTATGACAACTAGCAAGGAGTCCCTGTGCAAAGAAACAAAATATTTCATACACAGAGGAAAATGGCACTAGCTTTTAAAAAAAAACAACAAAAAAAAACACTTTGCTTTTATTTGGCATATTTGTCTTTATTGGATAACGTTTCGCTGCACTACATGCGAGCTTATTGCAGTGGTTATGGTTCTTATTTAGACAAACTGTTAACCCCCTTGGAAGCAAAGAGCAGAGAATTTCTACGGGAGCGGAGACATCACTACGCATACTGCACTGCGTGTTTTAGGCCAAACCACAAGTCACTTAACCCTTCAGGAGCACCATAATGACTATACAGCACTATGTTCTGGACAGCTAGAAGGATATATGTATGTTAGCAAAGCACAGCGGTGGGCTAACTGCTGAAAAATCCAGCTTGACAAAAACCAGAGGGTTCCTAGCACCTTAACCACTAACGCAAACTGTGACAATACAATTAACCACAGTGGTTATGGTGCTTGACTGCATTTTACAGTCCAGTGCAGCAGTGAAGTGTTTGAACGGTCACACAATCCGTATTTCTAAAGAGAGACTCTAAGCAGGTTACACCGGATATAGAAAAATAGGTTGTCTGCATTCATTTTGTTCCTTTGTACATATCTTAAAGAAAAGATGAAAATTGCTGGGAAAATTTAGACTAATTTCCAAAGAGATTACAACCATGTGCCAATTAATATCACCTAATAATCTGTGATTCATTTGTATATCAACAACTTATTACACGCAGAAAAAGAAAAACAATACAATAAAAAATTTCAGCAATTCATCCAGATCCATTCCCTGATGGCGATATATATGTAGACACTTCAATTCATCCATGAGCACTGATTAAATATCTGGAAAGAAAGGCAGGAGTGAGAGAGTATCGTGTGCACACAGTGAAATGAACATACAGCATGAATCCCAGACCGCCCCTCTCTGCTCACAGTCGCCCAGACCGCCCCTCTCGGCTCACAGTCGCCCAGACCGCCCCTCTCGGCTCACAGTCGCCCAGACCGCCCCTCTCGGCTCACAGTCGCCCAGACCGCCCCTCTCTGCTCACCGCCCCTCTCTCCAGCTCTCTGGAACAGTCGCCCAGACCGCCCCTCTCTGCTCACAGTCGCCCAGACCGCCCCTCACAGTCGCCCAGACCGCCCCTCTCGCTCACAGTCGCCCAGACCGCCCCTCTCGGCTCACAGTCGCCCAGACCGCCCCTCTCGGCTCACAGTCGCCCAGACCGCCCCTCTCGGCTCACAGTCGCCCAGACCGCCCCTCTCGGCTCACAGTCGCCAAGACCGCCCCTCTCTGCTCACAGTCGCCCAGACCGCCCCTCTCTGTCTCACAGTCGCCCAGACCGCCCCTCTCTGCTCACAGTCGCCCAGACTGCCCCTCTCTGCTCACAGTCGCCCAGACCGCCCCTCTCTGCTCACAGTCGCTCAGACCGCCACTCGTTGCACATCCATATTGAACTTAGTTCACTCTTTATGTCTACCAGGCTATGCTATTTTCTAACAGTGATCTGAACTTGCAGTAGACCTCAGGAAAGAATATATATTGGAATGACGCCGGTAGGAACACTGTTCACAGAAATTACTTACAAGATGGCCATCTCGTACAGCAGCATCAGCAGAAAGCACCCAATCTCGAAGCTTCAGGGATACGGCCTTTGTGATGGATAGGACCCAGGAGCTCCAGGATATGAAGAAGGGCCTGGACCCCATTGACCTGGTGGAACAGTCCCCCATGGTACAGAAGGCACAGCACCAGGTGCTTGGCTTGGAGTGGGGTATGGACCCGAAGCTGGGTATGGCAAATTTGGGGGTGTAGGGTACTGCCCACCTTGGGATCCCCATGAACCAGTGCCCCATGATGCTGCAGGTGAAGGACCTGATTGACCATATGGAGCTGGATACGACATACCAGGGGCAGGGTTAGGACCACCAGCTGTAGGTGCTTGCCCTGAAGGATTGGGATAAGAAGAGCCCCCAGCAGGGTTGGGATAAGAAGAGCCCCCAGCAGGGTTGGGATAAGAAGAGCCCCCAGCAGGGTTGGGATAAGAAGAGCCCCCAGCAGGGTTGGGATAAGAAGAGCCCCCAGCAGGGTTAGGATAAGAAGAGCCCCCAGCAGGGTTAGGATAAGAAGAGCCCCCAGCAGGGTTAGGATAAGGTGTGCCATGGGACCCAGCAGGGACTGAAGGATAGGGTGCGGCAGGATATTGGCCAGCGGGTGCGGTAGGGTAAGGGCCTGTAGGTGCCCCTGGATTCTGTCCTGCAGGCGCTCCTGGATAGGGGCCAGTTGGTGCTGATGGGTATGGGGCTTTTGGTGCACTGGGGTTTTGCCCAGCAGGAGCTCCAGGGTAGGGACCTGAATTATAAGGGGTATTAGGAGCTGTTGGGTGCTGCCCAGCTGGAGCGCCAGGGTACGGCCCAGTTGGGGCATTTGGTGCTGTTGGCTGCTGTCCAGCTGGAGCTCCAGGGTATGGCCCAGCAGCATATGGGGCATTGGGTGCAGCCGGTCCTGGTGGGGCATTTGGTGCTGTTGGATAGGGCCCTGTGGGTGCTGTTGGCTGTGGACCCATAGGTACTCCTGGGTAGAGTCCCGGTGTTCCTTGCCCATACGGTGCATTAGAAGGAGCAGATGGTGCAGTGGCAGGAGCATTATTTGGTGTGGACGCCCAGGGATTAGATCCAGGATATCCCCCGGGTTGCTGGCCATCTCTTGGGTTGCTTATGTTTTGTGTTTTGGAGGGTGATGGATCGGATAAAGCATCTGCCAACTTTAAGAACAAGACAAAATAAAGACTAAGCAACATCCGAGTCAAATCAACTTGCCCACGATACAAACCGCTCGAACGTTAGAGTCTATTTCCTTTTCAGGTACTGGCCCCCCATGTCACAGGAAAGATGGCAACTTACTGGTGCAATAAATAGACCCATACACAGATTGTTTATACTTAGGCGTTGCAATTCTTATCATTAAAAACAGTGTTATAGGTACCTTTACTGTTCTATTGTGTTTCTAATAGGATAACCCTTTGTGACATACAATTACAGTTCTTTAGATTAGATCAGTGGTTCCCAAACTGTGAGCCACGGCGCCCTGGGGTGCCGCAAAATGACCCATCGGGTGGCCCATTCACTTAGGTCCACCCGATGCATAAAACAGTTTTACTGCTCATCAGGGGCCAGGTTGGGAGCCTGACCGGGCCCCTGTGATATCAGCAGATTGTGTGTACGTGTTGGTGTCTATATGAATTTTCGTGTATGTATATCTGTATATGTACGCGGTTGTGTATGTGCATCTGTGTTTCCAGGTGTGTGTACGTGTCGGGGGTCTGTATGAATTTTTGTGTATATATGTGCATACGCATACATCAAAGCAAATACCAGCACAGCAGACAAACACACCCCTGGATTCAAATTAAAAACAAACATTACATCCAAACACACCCCTGGATAATTAAGTTATCTCCCAGGCTAAGGGGAGGAAACCTGTGTACTGTAACCAGCTAGTGATTGGGTAATCACTAATTTCCTGTGGGTGTCTCCCTTGAATGGGAGGATTGCATAAAAGCAAAGTGTGTGTCATTAAAAATCAGTTCTGCTGCTAATACTGCGTGTCGTCCAGTTATTGGGAAAGGTGATGGGATATTCGGGGATTACTTTACTGTTTATGCTGTTCTTCTTATGATAACCTACTTGATCCTGAGTAACTATTGGAATACCAGCGGAGAAAAGTCCATGTTAAATTAGCGCTCCGCTACACAGTGCTGTACAGATTTGCAACCTAAAACTTTATTTTGACTTGGGGCGCGTTGGAAAAATATTAAGTGCTAATAAGTTTGGGAACTGCTGGGTTAGATAAACAAACATTTTGGACCTGTGAATGGCACTGAATGTAAATCCCCCACCCTGACTAGAAGTTATTTCATTAAATGATACATTTATACCAAAAGTTGTAGCATTATTAAATAAAATGTAATACGGTTTGTGACATATTAGATACCAACCACACTAATGTTAGAGCACTAGCATAGAATCCCAACTTACCGAAAAGTCATCTGATCCAGACATGGTACTGAAAGAATAGGGAAAAACGAAAAATAAATTATATAGTATAGTTGAACAAAGAATGCTTAATTTAACCAGTTCACATAAAACAAATGTTGTTCTTAGTAACCTGGCCCAAGACTGCTGTAAATATTAACAGTAGTATGTAATGTGACGTGAGTTCTTTTAAAGTGACAAAGGGCAGGTGCTTCAAATAAATAAGGTAAAGTTAATATAGCCGTGCAAAGATACCAGGGAGGGACACTTTATTAACTGCACAAAATGGGTGGGGTACATTCTTTCATTCATACCAACAAAGAGCTGGCTGATTGCGGTTTACAGCCGGAGCAGTGACAACTAACCTTTGCATTCTCTTGCACTCACACACAGGAAGAAATAATCACTACGATCAGTATAAATACTCTGTATAACTCATTTAGAAATGCTATCTGCAAAGAGAACTGGGATCCTACTGAGAAGCAGAAAAAAATAAATAAAAAAAAATACATATGAAAAACTAATTATCTGATGGCATGGACAGGGTGCGAATTGTATTGTGGTTATAGTGCATTGTATATACCCTATTTCCCTGTCAATGAAGAGGTCAAAAGAGATAAGACCCAGCGCAGTGTTACAAAAACCGTGTAACGTAATGAAAACTCAGCACATCTTCTGCAGTCTGAGCACGTTAACCATTACTGTATTCCCACTGGCTCTGTCAGCTAGCATGTCTCCCTCTGAACCAGCCCAAGCATTCTCACAAATGGCAGCCATCTGTGCCAATATTAGGCTTTGGTTCAAAAGACAGCCACTGGAGGTGCCTCCTGAAATAAAAAGGGACCTTTGGTCTAGTATCTGGCGCTCTGCATGAGGACCTCCAGCGTCATATTTTGAATCAATGCTTTGCTATGGGCGTGTGGCATTAGCTGCGCATGCGGATTACACGCCGCTTGTCGTGGGATGCAGTGGGGAGGGGCAATATTGTCAGGACTACAGCTTTGTATTCCTGACACTACAGTATTCCTTTACAAAAAATTTAAAAAATCCGGACGTTAAAAACTCAATCCATCTTCACCCAGTGTGGTCTCTACACAGAATGAGCTCCGCAGGGCGGGGAAAGGCTTATAAAGACTCCCACGCCCAGCAATGTAACCCAGAGTGTTCTGATTGGTTGACTTAAGCAAACCAGAGCGTTCTGACAGGTAAATCTTGAGCCCTAGTAATCAAGTAATGCTCAAGATTCACCTGTCAGAACACATGGGTGGGAACAGTAGGTTCCCCGCTTGTCACTTAGAACCCCACCCACCAAGCCACAAGTGACAATGGATGAATGGTTGAATTTCAGAAAACAGCGAATGCTAAAGCGTTGAAATGCGTGTGACGGACCGCTGGCACTCCGACCGAGTGCCTTCGCCAATCGATGCTCCTAGTGCTTGCCGAGGACTGAGCACTCCACCAGACACCATAATCACTGCAGACCCCACTTCCAGCGATTCAGAGGCGCCGGGGTCTCACCGTCTTTCACCCACTCTGGACCCAAGGCCAGGATCCAGCTACCAGTGAGTGTATCAGGAAAAGCCTCTTACAGGAGCTTATACTCAGGGAAGTATTGTGTTATAGCAATCCCCAGGAGTGTAGTTATCCCATCCCCCAAGCATGAGTCAAGGCTTAATGCTGGGTAGAGATCTGTTTAATGACACACAAAGCAACAGTATTCATGCAGTAAAACCACTCCTGCTCTGAGGAAAACAAAATGACAGTTATTGGGTCAGACAGTGAATGAATGTGACAGTTATTGGGTCAGACGGTGTATGAATGTGACAGTTATTGGGTCAGACAGTGTATGAATGTGACAGTTACTGGGTAAGACAGTGAATGTGACAGTTACTGTGAAAGACAGTGAATGTGACAGTTACTGGGTCAGATAGTGAATGTGACAGTTACTGGGTAAGAGAGTGAATGTGACAGTTATTGGGTCGGATAGTGAATGTGACAGTTACTCGGTCAGATAGTGTATAAATGTGACAGTTACTGGGTAAGACAGTGAATGTGATAGTTACTGGGTCGCACGGTATATGAACGTAACAGTTACTGGGTCGGACAGTGAATGTGACAGTTATTGGGTCAGACAGTGAATGTGACAGTTATTGGGTCGGATAGTGAATGTGACAGTTATTGGGTCGGATAGTGAATGTGACAGTTACTCGGTCAGATAGTGTATGAATGTGACAGTTATTGGGTCAGACGGTGTATGAATGTGACAGTTATTGGGTCAGACAGTGTATGAATGTGACAGTTATTGGGTCAGACGGTGTATGAATGTGACAGTTATTGGGTCAGACGGTGTATGAATGTGACAGTTATTGGGTCAGACGGTGTGTGAATGTGACAGTTATTGGGTCAGACAGTGTATGAATGTGACAGTTATTGGGTCAGACAGTGATTGAATGTGACAGTTATTGGGTCAGACGGTGTATGAATGTGACAGTTATTGGGTCAGACAGTGAATGAATGTGACAGTTATTGGGTCAGACAGTGTATGAATGTGACAGTTATTGGGTCAGACAGTGAATGAATGTGACAGTTATTGGGTCAGACAGTGTATGAATGAATGCTTGGCAGTTGTGGGTCGAACCAGTGTATGAATGTGACAGTTATTGGGTCAGACGGTGTATGAATGTGACAGTTATTGGGTCAGACAGTGAATGAATATGACAGTTATTGGGTCAGACGGTGTATGAATGTGACAGTTATTGGGTCAGACAGTGTTTGAATGTGATAGTTATTGGGTCAGACGGTGTTTGAATATGACAGTTATTGGGTCAGACGGTGTATGAATATGACAGTTATTGGGTCAGACGGTGTATGAATGTGACAGTTATTGGGTCAGACGGTGTATGAATGTGACAGTTATTGGGTCGGACGGTGTATGAATGTGACAGTTATTGGGTCGGACGGTGTATGAATGTGACAGTTATTGGGTCGCACGGTGTATGAATGTGACAGTTATTGGGTCGCACGGTGTATGAATGTGACAGTTATTGGGTCGCACGGTGTATGAATGTGACAGTTATTGGGTCGCACGGTGTATGAATGTGACAAGGTATTAAGGATTTAACTGGTGTTCTGTGGGCGGGTGGGGGGGGATATAAAACAGTTGAACTAAGTCCATAAACAGGGGTTTTCTTCACACACCCCAAGAGCCATAGTCACAGGGCAAGAGGCTGGCAAGCAGGCCTCTCCAGAACCCACAGGGGTATATCAATATTCTCAGCCATAACATGCACGCTTAACTAATAAAACAAGGGGTGTATCAATATTGTTTTAGAAAGATTGTTTTCTACTTGATAAACAACGTATAGATCCTTTTGGGTCGCCTTCTGATCCTGGTAGGATCTTTGAATGGAATACTTGTAACAATAGTTTTGATTCATGCACCCAATAAGGCACAAACTACGTTTATTTCAAGGAGTTTTCTGTTGGTACAGAGGATGGGTAAAGGTCATTTTATCATTTGTGGGAATTTTAAATGCGGCTTAGACCCTAAAATGGATGTATCTAGATTAAAGGATAAAAGCCATCTTCCCTCTACTGTCTCAACAATTAAACTGTGTGCGTTGTTGCACAAGTATAATTCATATGACACATGGAGGTGTAAATATCCCATATTTCTCTTCCTTGATATACTCTCGTATAGAAATGTGTATGGTGGATAAAGTGACCTTGATGAATATAATAGCGGTTGAAATAGGTCAACGGACATGGTCCGACCATGCACCTCTTTTTATTACATTCCGTTTGATTAACCCCGCACCTGGCCGTGGAACTTGGCGGTTAAAGAGGCACTATTCGATAACTCTATATACGCAGAAGAGATAACAAAAACAATAACTAACAATTATTCTAAAAATAAAATGAATGACACTTCGATATGTAACCAATGGCTTGCCCGTAAGGCAGTGCTTAGGGGGGTTATGATAACATTGGGATCAATAAGGAAAAAGGTGATAAACACGGCCCGATCTCAGCTTCTTGAGGAACTTGAAAGAGTAGATTCCCAAAACAAAAAAAACGAATTCAAAAGGTTTAACTAAACGTATATCTCAGATTCAAAGGGAACTTGGAAAAGGTTATTAAAGGGACACTATAGTCACCCAGACCACTTCAGCTAAATAAAGTGGTCTGGGTGCCAGGTCCCCCAGCTTCTAACCCTTCAGATGTAAACACGGCAGTTTGAGAGAAACTATGTTTACATAGCAGGGTTAAAAGTCCATAGGAAAGCATTGAGAAATGCTTTCCTATGGATTATTAGAATGGGTGCGCGGCATTTGCGGCGCATGTGCACTCCGCTCCACTCAGGAGCTGACGTCGGCGGGAGATGAGGTCACCAGCGCCCAGGGAGCCTGGCGATGGATTAAGGTAAGCTGCGGAGGGGGACCCTGAGGGTGAGTGTCCCCCAAGGATTACATATTGTCGGGAAAACGGGTTTATTTTTCATGTCAAGTCATGTTTTAGTGTTTGCAGAGGACACAAATCTTTGTAAAGTAATAAAATGTGATATTTGGTGTGGTGGATATTTTATATATTTTACTCTGTATTCTAAATAAAGGTATTTTGGCTACTTTTAAATCACTCTGATTGTGCCATTTTACTCTTTTATTTACTATTTTTAACTTTTGCTTCGTATCCTGATTTTATCTCTCCTGCTGAGTATTACTCCAAAGACATCCGAGGTGGGGATTATACCACTCACGCCTAAGTCATTGAGCAGTCCGCCTGCTCAATCCTGTGTGAGTACACATTTTATTGTTTATACTCCTTATATGAGTTTTTATACAGCGAGCACTATTAGTTGTCTCTCTTCTCCGTTATGATCTACATATCTGCAAAAGACTTATACACGCATTCTACAAGCGGGGATTATCCCGCTGTGCGCTATTCATACTAGAGCTGGCTTAAGCTCTACTAAACGTGAGTAGTACTGTATTAGACTCTGTTATATACACCATCTTTACCAGACGTACTGCCCTATCATCTGTCTTTCTCTTCCACATACGGAGTAAAAGACCAATACTTCTCTAGGTATCCTATACGCAGGGATTGTACCACTGTATGCCATCCACACTAGAGCTAGTTCAGCTCTACTACACGTGAGTAGGATTACTATACTGATATTCTTGCATATCAACCCTCGTATCAGGCGTATTTGCACTTTTGTTTTTCTTTCTTTACATACGGATCCTGTAAAAACATCTTCAAGCGACCATTAGAGAGAATACTCCTCCACATAGGCCGTCGTTGCCTCATCAGGCCCAACTACAGACTTTGTTTTGGCACCACTTACACTTTGGACTGTGTTCATTTCAGCTGCTCTTTAGCCAGCTTTGGCGCAACCTTCTTCTGTTTTGTCTAATAAAATGTGAGCAGGATATTGAATTGCTGCAGAGGGATTTAGAGAGATTGGGGGACTGGGCACTAAAATGGCAGATTAAATTTAATGTAGAGAAATGCAAAGTTATGCACTTCGCGGTCAAGAATGCACTAGCAATTTACACCCTAAATGGTAGTGAATTAGGGATAACCACACACGAGAAGGATTTGGGAATTGTTATAGACAACAAATTAGGCAGCAATATGCAATGTCAATCTGCAGTTGCTAAGGCCAGTAAGATTTTATCAGGATAAAAATATAATTTTGCCTCTTTATAAATCGCTGGTAAGACCACACCTTGAATATGCTGTGCAATTTTGGGCACCTGTTCTAAAGAGGGGTATCATGGCACTAGAAAAAGTGCAGAGACGAGCTACAAAATTGATTAAAAGAATGGAGCATTTTAGTTACGAAGAAAGGTTAAAAACTGAAAATCTCTCTAGTTTGGAAAAACGGCTCCTCAGTGGGGATATGATAACATACAAATAAATTCGGGGCCAGATTGGAAGCGCTTCAGACTGGGTTTGTTTGCCTTCTTTTGGATCAACAGCAAAAACATATGTGAGGAAGGCTGAACTTGATGGACACAAGTCTCTCTTCAGCTATGTCTTTATGTAATAAATAAATTACGGTAACTAAACTGTATTGAATAGGAGCAGAGCTCATTATATTGGTTATGTGCCTATTTGTGTTTGTTTATAAATATTAATAGGAAAAATATCTTTGTATTATCAGTTATCATAAATATATGATAAAATGTAAAAAAAAATTATTTCATGGAAATGTAATTAATAAATATTAAAAACCTGAAAATAACTAAATAACCAGAGTTCTGACACAGTCACACTGCAGTAGTTCAGCTGTGGGGTTTATCTGTTAACTGTTAAAGGGAAAGTCTAGGACAACTTCCTTGTTCAAGCTGGGCAGCGTCCAATCAAATGCTTGTCATAGATAATCTTTATGGACACAACAAGCACATCTGAAATATATGCTAAAATACATGGAAATAGACTAGTTTAAAAAAATAAATACATATTTAAAAAGGTCTGTCTATCCAGAAAATAGTGAGCCTCAGACTTGCTGACCGTGAGACCCTCCATATAAACGAGAAGTTACATATATTGCGGAGAACCACATTGTTCTTGCAAATGGGGAGGAAGTAGCAGAAAGCCACTATCTTGTATATGGTATAACGATGTCCTAAAAAAAATGAATAAATGACAAAAACATAATTTAAGGCACACAGGTCTCGGCTGTCTGGGGCTACCAGCCGTCAAAGATCGAAAAATAAGATTTTGTAATAAAAGCGTGCTAAACATCTGGAGAGAAGCAAGCAGTGCGCTGGGCTCCGATATTACCCCGATTCTGGGTTCAGAGTGTGAGCCAATTGGACCATGTCTTTGTATAAACATGATATTTGTGCAATAAGAAATGTTGCTTTAATTCTAATGAAGATTGCTGGTTTGTGGAAACCTATTGCCTGCATTGTTTTGTAAGGAACTAACGATTGGTTTGAATGTGCCGTCTCTTGTAGTATCCCGTAGTTGCTATGGAGTCTTCATACACAGAAGAAGCGGAAATCCCTCTACAGATGTATTCTACGGATGATCTGGATCCAGCCCATGACTTTTGTGACCCCATCACAGGACGGGAGTACATCCCCATGTCTGAGCAGGAGACGTCACGTATTAGCCACACCCTGGAGCAGCTATGGAGACAGAGAGAGGAGCAGGGGCCGGCCTTACAATACCTCCCTGCTGACGCACAAGTAGAAACTATTGTGTCTGCCATTGAAAAGCACCCGGTGGTGGTGATTGCTGGTGATACCGGATGTGGTAAAACCACCCGTATTCCTCAGTACTTGCTGGAAGACACAATTCTTAGGGGGCAGGGGTCCCACTGTAACATGATAATAACACAGCCACGCCGGATCAGTGCTGTATCCGTGGCTCATCGTGTAGGTCATGAGCTGGGGCCTGGACTGAGAAAAAATGTGGGCTACCAAGTGAGACTGGAAAGTATGTTGCCCCCTCGTGGTGGTGCCCTCTTATTCTGTACAGTTGGAATTCTTTTAAAAAAGCTGCAGAGTAATCCCACACTGGTAGGAGTGAGCCACGTTCTTGTAGATGAAGTCCACGAGAGGGATGTCAATACAGATTTCCTTCTCATTTTGTTGAAGAGGGCACAGCAACTCAATCCCCAGCTGAAAGTGGTACTGATGAGCGCCACGGGGGACAATGAAAGGATTTCCACCTATTTTAGTGGTTGTCCTATAGTCCGTGTGCCAGGCTTCATGTACCCAGTGAGGGAGAATTACCTAGAGGATGTCATGGTCATGCTGGGGAATTCGTCCTACCAGCCCCCTGAGGTCGAGGTAAGTGTGCCCACCTTATACTTGTGTGTTCTGCGAACATTCTAAGGAAAGCCTAGGTAGGTTACACTGTAATGCCATTCCAACTGGATTAACGTTAATAAAATAATAAATGGAGGCCGTGGCCATTAACAGAATGTGAGCTTACTTTGTTAGATTGAGCACGGCAGGGAACATATAATGTACAAAATAGTCGCAGTCACCTGAAACAGCTATACATAGTTGTGTTTTTTTTGTTAATTCAATATATTTTTATGGTAGAGTGTGAAGACTGGCACTTGTCTAATAACTATTGGTGACATTTAGCCCTGGTGAATAGGGCATGTGTTGGATTGAACTGATGCTGGACTTGACGCAATGAATGTGCGGCTCCTCCCCTCGCGCAGACACCTAGAAACGATTTCTCTTTTTTTCTGTTTTCAGGAGACTGAGGAATGTGCTCCAGACTTGGATTTAATAAGTAGATTGATACTTCATATCGATGAACACAAACCGCCGGGTAAGAATGTCCGTAATGACGCGTTTCACACCTGTGCTAGACAATGTGTAGTTACTATTATCCTTATTATTGCATTAGGATTCACCAAACGCTAGATTTACTGAATTAAATACGTAGTGGTATTTCTTAGGCCAAACTAACTGATGTGGAAGCGTTCTCTGACTGGGCTTACATATTGATTATTTCAGTTAACTAGGATTCCGAGTTTAGTGAATACATTTTATTAGTTTGTAAACACAATTTATTTAATTAAATGGAAAATCTGAACGTTGATTTGATGGGTACAGGGGTACCGTCCAGTTACCTGATTCCGATTTATGAATTCGGAAATGTGGAGAACTGATAAGGGAATTTGTGAAAATATCCAAAATGAAGAATCGTACTTTGTTTTGTATCTCGTGGTCTAAACATTTCTTTGTTGATTCTCCAACATTTTACAATTTAATGAATGACCCATTACATCAACCCCTGACTTAGCGCCACTAAGTCCTCATAAGTGGTTGTTCCGCTGTCTTCCTAAATTTGCCCTAGTGGGTACACTATTACAAGAAGGACACACCTTCTCTGTGACTTAATTGCCAGCATGCTGGGTCCTGAAGGGAGTGACATTAGTCACTGTTCCTGTACTCACTAGCCAATATACAATAAATTGTAAACAGCATAACAAGCTTCCTGTAAATGGCAGGTTCACTAAATTTGCTGCTTTGGCCCCTTTTGACGTCTTGGAGTCTGGGGATTTTGCTGAATGTTTAGAGTCTCCTATTATATGCCCCTGGCTGTAGTTGCTGCGGTGTGACTCCTGCACTGTAGCTCCTGGCTGTAGTTGCTGCAAATTAACTCTTGTGCAGTAGCTCCTGGCTGTAGTTGCTGCAGTGTGACTCTTGAGCAGTAGCTCCTGGCTGTAGTTGCTGCGTTGTGACTCTTGCAATGTAGCTCCTGGCTGTAGTTCCTGCGACGTGACTCCTGCACTGTAGCTCTTGGCTGCAGTTGCTGCGACGTAGCCCCTTGGCTGTAGTTGCTGCGGTGTGACTCTTGTGCAGTAGCTCCTGGCTGTAGTTTCTGCAGGGTGACTCTTGTGCAGTAGCTCCTGGCTGTAGTTGCTGCAGTGTAACTCTTGTGCAGTAGCTCCTGGCTGTAGTTGCTGCAATGTGACTCTTGCGCAGTAGCTCCTGGCTGTAGTTGCTGCAGTGTGACTCTTGCAATGTAGCTCCTGGCTGTAGTTGCTGCGGTGTGACTCCTGTGATGTAGCTCCTGGCTATAGTTACTGCAATGTGACTCTTGCGCAGTAGCTCCTGGCTGTAGTTGCTGCGATGTGACTCCTGCACTGTAGCTCTTGGCTGTAGTTGCTGCGACGTAGCTGTAACTCTTGCGCAGTAGCTCCTGGCTGTAGTTGCTGCAAATTAACTTGTGCAGTAGCTCCTGGCTGTAGTTTCTGCAATGTGACTCTTGTGCAGTAGCTCCTGGCTGTAGTTGCTGCAGTGTGACTCTTGTGCAGTAGCTCCTGGCTGTAGTTGCTGCAGTGTGACTCTTGTGCAGTAGCTCCTGGCTGTAGTTACTGCAATGTGACTCTTGCGCAGTAGCTCCTGGCTGTAGTTGCTGCGTTGACTCCTGCGATGTAGCTCCTGGCTGTAGTTTCTGCGATGTGACTCCTGCACTGTAGCTCTTGGCTGTAGTTGCTGCGACGTAGCTCCTGGCTGTAGTTGCTGCGGTGTGACTCTTGCAATGTAGCTCAAGGCTGTAGTTGCTGCAAATTAACTTGTGCAGTAGCTCCTGGCTGTAGTTTCTGCAATGTGACTCTTGTGCAGTAGCTCCTGGCTGTAGTTGCTGCAGTGTGACTCTTGTGCAGTAGCTCCTGGCTGTAGTTGCTGCAGTGTGACTCTTGTGCAGTAGCTCCTGGCTGTAGTTGCTACGGTGTGGCTCCTGCAATGTAGCTCCTGGCTGTAGTTCCTGTGATGTGACTCCTGCAATGTGAATCCTGTGCTGTATCTTCTCCCTGTAGTTACTGCAATGTGACTCTTGTGCAGTAGCTCCTGGCTGTAGTTGCTGCGACATGGCTCCTGCAATTTAGCTCAAGGCTGTAGTTGCTGCAATGTGACTCTTGTGCAGTAGCCCCTGGCTGTAGTTCCTGTGACATGACTCCTACGATGTAGCTCGAGGCTGTAGTTGCTGCTGTGTAATTTTATCGCTACGCTCTATCTTTTTTTATCCTTTTGTGCTTTTCAGGTGGGATCCTCTGCTTCCTCCCAGGGTGGCAGGAAATCCGTGGGGTGCAGCAGAGACTGATGGAGAGTCCGAAGTATCAAAAGGATCGGCATCTTATTTTACCAGGTGGGCAAGCACTGATGCTACCTGTGGCGGATACTTGGGTAGGGACACACCACCAAAGATGCTCTTTCCTATTCTCTGGATCTCCGTCAACACTGTCTTCGGTGATTATAGCTGTGTAGTGTGATCTAGCTCTCCTCCCCGACATTAGCCGAGACATAATGCTGGGAGTAGCCTAGTTTATTAGGGCAAGGTACATGCAATTTATACACAGACCCCCAGCATGGGGTCTTCATACATTTCAATATAAACTCCTCCCGAGCGTCCCTGTGTCTGGGAGATAATTGAGTCAAACACCGGTAACTCAATTATCTCTGTTACAGGGACCCACACAGAAAATACCCCAAAACACATACAATTTCCCCAGGAACCTCCACAAATCTTATATCCCCAGATAGCCCGGATCCGAGCACCCAAGTTGTCCAATTAGTGCTCAGATCAGTTCGGTTGAACGGAATCGCCATCCGGATAATGTTTTGACTGATCGTTCAGGAATTCTTGTGGGTATACAAACAAATGTTCCTTCCTGGCTCTAGGGAGCAAATGTTCTGTCTGTCCGTGCGAACCTTTTGACCAAAAGGAGCTCTCCACTCGGCGGTACACGTTGAGCGGTGTTCACAAATAGTGTGTCCGATTTGAGTTCCAGGTGTTCGACGTCAGAGTACTAATGCTTGCATTCGCTAACACAAAATGGCGGCCACTTAAGAGAACACTTGAGTTAACAGGTTCAAAAAGGTTAACGAGCCAGGTGGTGGTCTGGATATGGGTGGTATAAAAGGGAATAACGGGACTTTGTTCAGTAACCGAACAACAGGGGGAAAAAAAACGAATGAACAGAGTACACGTAGTAACAGGGTGGTCCGTGCCCCAACACCAACATTACCTCTTACAGGGTCACTAATATAGAGGGTCATGGGTTATGTAGAAGGGATGCCTTTTGTGAATATTTTTAAAAAAACACTGAAGTCCAAGCTGTATTTTGATGTGTCTGAAAGTTCTGTTGTTAAATGAATGCCATGAAATGTTGTCATCGGATGTTGCCATATGTTACATGTATGTGGCTGGATTTGTTTGTTATTGTGTGTGTGTTTGTGTGTATGTATGTGTGTGTGTGTGTATATATATATATATATATATATATATATATATATATATATATATATATATATGTATGTGTATTATTAGGCATCTCATGCCCCATTGGATCTAATGCTTGTATTATGTCACACACACCTCGCTAGCCCCATCCCACGCTGGGTCTCCTATGACCCCCATACTACCTTCGAAACTCAGTCTCTTTGTGGAGTATTTCACCCCCTATCTCTGTTGTTTGTGTTTTATTTCTCCCCAGTTCATTCCAATATTCCAATGATGGACCAGCAGAACATATTCCAGCGCCCCCCGGTGGGAGTCAGAAAGATTGTCCTGGCGACAAACATCGCCGAGACATCTGTAACCATCGATGACATTGTGCACGTAGTGGACAGCGGGATGCAGAAGGAGCAGCGCTATGATCTCAAGACAAAGGTGCCTCAATTGAGCTCCATGTGGCACATATGGTGCAGTGAAATGGATAACAATCAAATTCAGATCAACCCCTCACCTTATCCTCACACACTCCCTGAGCTCTACACACCTCCTATAACCCACACTACCTGAGCACTCACTGCAGCTCCCACACCTCCTATAACACACACTACCTGAGCACTCACTGCAGCTCCCACACCTCCTATTACACACACTGCCTGAGCAGCACACTTACTGCAGCTCCCCACACCTCCTATAACCCACACTACCTGAGCAACACGCTCACTGCAGCTCCCCACACCTCCTATAACACACACTACCTGAGCAGCACACTCACTGCAGCTCCCCACACCTCCTATAACACACACTACCTGAGCAGCACACTCACTGCAGCTCCCCACACCTCCTATAACCCACACTACCTGAGCAGCATGCTCACTGCAGCTCCCCACACCTCCTATTACACACACTACCTGAGCAACACACTCACTGCAGCTCCCACACCTCCTATAAGCCCCACTACCTGAGCAACACGCTCACTGCCGCTCCCCACACCTCCTA